GTTCAATAGTCTATAGACTCAAGTTCATAAGTCCATAGGAAACATTTATGAGTATCCCTGTGCAGACGACGAGTCACAATAACGTGGGTGAAGATATGATGACCAAACAACACACCGGAAGATGAAGAAACGACGACGTTTCGGTCCATCCTGGACCATTATCAAGTCGTGTGTGATGGGAGATGATGATGATGATGAGCATCAAGTGTTATCATCATCAAGTGAATACCAGTTAACACACACACACATATTGGTAAATACAGGTTTTCTGCCTTAACCAGCTCGTCATCCACCCTACAGAGGCTCTTCTTTAAGGAAGCTCGCTCTTAAAGTTGCTAGTCCTCTAGCGAAGTGTTCCTTAGAAAAGTTCCTCTTTATAAATGGATTTCTAACATAGGTTCCACTTTAGGAATTGGGTTCCTATAGGTCGGTTCCTCTTTAGGGAGGGCGCTCCTGTAGGGAGATTTTGTTTTCAGTGTATATGTCTGTTCTTTTAGGGCGGTTCTTTATTATTTTTGTGTTATCTTGAGGTTATCTTGAGATGATTTCGGGGCTTTTAGTGTCCCCGCGGCCCGGTTCTCGACCAGGCCTCCACCCCCAGGAAGCAGCCCGTGACAGCTGACTAACACCCAGGTACCTATTTTACTGCTAGGTAACAGGGGCATAGGGTGAAAGAAACTATGCCCATTGTTTCTCGCCGGCGCCCGGGATCGAACCCGGGACCACAGGATCACAAGTCCAGCGTGCTGTCCGCTCGGCCAATCGGTTCCGTAGACTAGAGGAGGATTTAGTACTAGAAGAGGATCTTAGAAAAGACGCTCTTGTGAGGAGATTCCTCATAAAACATTTAGATATAAAACAAATCCATAAGGGCCGTGACCAGGATTCGAACCTGCGTCCGAGAGCATCCCAGCGCATTAGATATAGAGTTTATTACGAAATGTTTTTTGACTAGTTTTTGTTTAATTAGAGTATTTTGAATAAGTTCTCCTGAAAATGTTCTTTAAACATCCTTGCAAGGAATGTTTAGGTAGGTAATCTCTTATTTTAAATTTGTTAAGTGTTTTTATAGGGAGAGATTATAGTTCTGTTTTAGAGTTAAATGGGAGGTTCTCCGGTAAGTTTCATTTATCTTAGGCTGTTTTATGAAACTTAATAAATAGAGGTTCTTGAAGAGTATTCTTCCAGAGAGATAATTTGATAGGTTTATACAGGCTCTATTTTTAAGGTGTTTCGTCTTTTCGGCACGTTTTCCTCTGGAGTTTATTTAGGCCTAGAGTTGTTTCATATGATCGCTGGTAGCGACGGGCTCTCCATAGCCCGTGCTGCTTGGAACCTTGGTTCTGAGTAGCGGAATCTTAAACAACAGAAGATTGCTGGTATCTGAGGGGCTTCGTAGCCTGGTGGATAGCGCGCAGGACTCGTAATTCTGTGGCGCGGGTTCGATTCCCGCACGAGGCAGAAACAAATGGGCAAAGTTTTTCACCCTGAATGCCCCTGTTACCTAGCAGTAAATAGGTACCTGGGAGTTAAGTCAGCTGTCACGGGCTGCTTCCTGGGGGTGGAGGCCTGGTCTAGGACCGGACCGCGGGGATACTAAAGCCCCGAAATCATCTCAAGATAACCTCAAGATAGATCATTGGATTTTTTTGTTAACAGGGATGACATACAAGTGCGTTACTGTACGGTGAATCTTGACCTTTTACGACAATTCTTCACTAAATTTCTATTTAGTGTTTCTTTACAAAAAATATTTTTGCAGGCCACCGATGTAGAAATGTTTTCTTAAGGGAAGTTATTATTAATTGTCATTTTTTCTGAGTTGTCAAAATTTAAATGTTTAAGGAGAAAGTTGTTATCAATGTGTGTGGTCAAATTGCGGCCGTTTATTTAGCCCGTTCTCGCGATCGTTCTGAACGTCAGGAAACTGTCTTAGTAAAGTGCCCTAACCTAACTAACCAGAGGACCCACGAACAGAAAACGGGACATTGTGTCAATTTCGCGAGCCGCTGCCATTTTTTTGTGTACATCACTTTTTTACTTTAGGTAAAGTATACGCCAAAATGCGACGTGCTATAAAGAGAAGAGGTTGATTAGGGATGTATAACAGTTTTCTTGTTTAAGAAAAGCAAGTTTAAGAACAGCAAGAATTTAACGGACACATGATTGATGAAGATTAAGCCACCCAAAAGGTGGCACGGGCATGAATAGCCCGTAAGTGGTGGCCCTTTTGAGCCATTACCAGTATCAATAGATGATACTGGAGATCTGTGGAGGTGCGACTGCACCCTGCGTGACGGGAGATGTCTCCCGTGGAACCTCGTGCTCAGTGATGATTGATTGATGAAGATTAAGCCACCCAAAAGGTGGCACGGGCATGAATAGCCCGTAAGTGGTGGCCCTTTTGAGCCATTACCAGTATCAATAGATGATACTGGAGACCTGTGGAGGTGCGACTGCACCCTGCGTGACGGGAGATGTCTCCCGTGGAACCTCGTGC